TGAACCGCTGAGGTCAGTAGGACTACCTTCACTCAACCTTAAGGTGGCCTTCCTAATAGCCATTACATCAGCCAGAAGAATTTCAGAGTTGGCAGCATTATCCATGAGGGAGGACCTCTGTATAGTTCACCCAAATAGGGTAGTATTAAGATTAGACCCAACCTTTATCCCAAAGATCAATTCTACGTTCCATAGAGCACAAGAGTTAGTACTACCAGACTTCTGCCCAGAACCGGTCCATAGCCTAGAAAGGAAGTGGCACTCCTTGGATATTAGGAGAGCTATACGCATTTATATTAAGAGAACAAGGCCCATTAGAAAAATGGAAGCATTGTTCATTTCATTTAGACCGAGTTCGTTGGGACAAAGGGTTTCACCATCTACCATAGGCAGATGGAAGACATGTATCACAAAAGCTTATGAAAGCCAATCATTGCAATTGCCGGGTAACATAACGGCACATTCAACCAAGAGTACAGCCAGATCAGTGGCATGGAACACACAGGCCTCGATTGAAGAGATCTGTAGGGCAGCAACGTGGTCATCACCATCTCCATTCATCAGAAATTATAAACTGGATACATTTGCATCAGTAGAAGCATCCTTTGGAAGAAGAGTGCTACAAAGAATTCACATGGAGATGGGGGCTCAGGCCAAGGAGTTGGCCCACCCTCAGGACAATTAGCTTGGGTACATCCCACACTTTGGATTCTCCAACCCGTACAATTGAGAAAGAGTGTTGGGCTTACCTGAAACGCGTCTTCTAGTTGTATGGGAAGAGAATCCAAATCCCACCCTTAGATAGTTAGTCTCGAGCTCAGAACGATCAAGAACGAGCACCAAAGAACTCTCCAAGTCAATCATCAGCCTTCATCAAAAACTGGGCATGCGCAGTGGAAAGGGGGCTTGACTAAACATTGATTGACTCCGTCTTTTAGTAAGGAAGCAGGAGACAGCCCACACTTTGGATTCTCCTCCTGTACAACTAGAAGATGCATTTCAGGTAAGCCCAACGCGCTTTCTACCTGGCAAGTTGAGCAAGCAAAGTAGTTCTTCCTGTAACTCTCCTTCACACTCAATCCTCACAAAACAAAGAAGTGCCTTGTTACTTATGTCTGTTGATTCATCAAGTTGAATTGCATAAAATGGTGCATTTTTCACCATTTTTATAATTTGATTTTCAATATTTTCAGCCGTGTCTTCAATTCTGCGTTTGACAGTGTTAGCAGACATAGGAATTGCTTTCAGTTTCTGGACAGCCTGCTTTCCCAAAATTTCTTCACAGGCTTGTAATATGCAAGGCTTAATTAAATCTTCTCCAATTATATATGGCTTTTTATTTTTTGCAGTCTGAAGTGCTATCAGAAAAGAAACCTTTAATAAGGACTTATCTTCATTTTTGTTAAAGCAATTAGTTGCTTTTGCATATTTTCATGCATTCTTTGAAAATATTCCAGTGGTTTGTTGGCTAAAACTAGGGGTTTGTTTGCAAATGTCTTCTGGGTTTCGAAGGTTTCATGCCTTCATTGGATAAACTCTCAGAATACGCAACACAAAGCGGCCGTGGATCCAGCTCACTACCAGGTTCTTGAATAAATCCAAATTTCAAATAGTCCAAATCATATTTTCTTAATATTTTGAGTTTTTTCTTCTTTCTGCCTCCAGTTTGAGTGTTCTTCCTAATGGTGCCTGATGAGGACTGTGGAGGCTCTGATCAGCTCATGGTTAAGTGAAGTACACATATTGTTATTGTTACTATTATCATTAGTAACATTATCTTTTATATTGCTAAAGAAATGTAAAATATTCCTTTGCTTTTTTTCACTCATCATGGAAACCATTTGAATCTAAAACCAAATAAGAAATGATAGTTGTCAAAATCAAATTATTTGATGCCATCAAATATTACAGTTAAAGAAAATAAAGTTAAGGTCAAACTTACCTCAACCTTGCTTGACGCTGGGGTGCTGTGTGTCCGGACCAGGTACTTTCTCTTGGCCTCCAGGCAGGAGGCCCGAGAGAAAGCACCCGCTCCAGGCATACAGCCTTCCAGGAACCTCTTTTGTGTTCCTTCTCTCAAGAAGCTTGGTCAGTCTGAGTGAAGGAAAATGAAGATGGGAAGACTGATGGTGGTGGGAAAGTCAGTCCCATATTCCAGGGTTGTAGTAGCCACAGGACTGGCCCTTTGGGGCAGCTGCTCCGGGATGACCAAAGGGTCAGTCCTGTAACTACTACAGCTCTGGAATATGGGATCAGCCCATCTGGGGAGGGAAGGCAGCATTCTGGCTGAATGAGGGTGGGGCAGGGGGCAAGTGGGGGCTGTCCTGGGAGGGCAAGGTTGGGAACTGTGGAGCAGAGTGAAGGGAAAGGAAGGCCCTCTTTCATTCTTTGGGGGGAAAGAGGGAGGATTTAATACTGCTGGGATTCAAAAGAATCACCACAAGGTGCCTGGAGGAGGCAAGGAAAGGGACATAGAGCCATGCGTATCTCTCAGTTCCTCCTGTCAGCTCTCCCCATTAATTCTCCAGCTTTGGATTTCTCCCACCTGTCTCTCTCTCTTTCCTTCTCCCTTCCGCCCACCTGGAAGCAGGTGGAACACAGAGGAACACAGATCCGTGCGCATCTCTCGGTTCCTCCAGTCCTTGCTGCCTCTCCACATTGAAGCCTCAGAGACGCAGGCAAAGCCGCTGCAGCGGTAGCGCCCAAGTTGCCTTAGCATGCTCACCTCTCGGCACCAGTGGCAACGGGTACTTGCTGCAGTCATCTGGCAGAAGCAGCAGCAGCAGTGCTGCCTTTCTTCCCGGGTCTTTAATGCCTGGCTTGTTCTCCACCACTGTTGCCTCCTCCTCCTCCAGCACCCCCTTCTCCGGGTAGGGCAATTATGAACTAACCGAGCGGCTACACTGATACCCCTGTGTATCAGTGTAATCGCTCAGTTAGTTCATAATCACCTTTCTTTCCCATCGTCAGCAAGCCACCCCAGGGTGGATTTCCCTCCCCTGCCGTTGGTCTTACCTTCCAGTTCCAGCTCACGTGGCTCTCTACTGCTCAGTCTCAGTCAAGGTAAGTTTTGCTCTCGGCTGAAGAGTGGGAATCAGCGGGTGGGCGGGCCATGTGGGCAGAGCAGCCTTGTTTTCCCATGCAGCCCAGATTAATTGTTTTCGGGGGCCATTTCTTCTGCAGCCCACCAAAAATTTTCCACGGCCCACCAGTTGGCAAACACTGGTCTAAAGTATTCTTGCCTCTAGTGAGACAATTGACATGCTGAAAATATTTGATAATATGATTCGTAGTAAGACCATCAGCCTCACAGTATAGCTCAGAAAAGGGCTGATGTGTATTTCAAGTACAACACTGGAAAAACTTCATGTTTTCTTAGCAGCTAGAAAGAAATATTCTACAATTAGAATTTTTATTTCTACTCTAATTATTGTATGGAATTGAACTGCTCTCACTGATTAAAGCTTATTTTCTTGCTAGTAACATGATACAGCTTTGTCCATTCTAGCCATTTTGTGTGTATTTAGTACAATGTAAATTTGTCCATTGAGTGTTATTTGAATAGATAAAATAAAATTATTCCGTTAAAGCAATGCTGTAGCTGGTTAAAAACATATTTTACCAGCTTTTGAATTGTTTGCCTGACTGGGTGATTTCTATGACTTCCATCATTTCTCACTTGGTCTCAAAAAAGCAGATTTTTTTTTTCTTTTTTATTTCCTCCTTTCCACCCATATTGAATATGTAAATGTGAAATTATTCTGTTTTTACATATACAAATGCTCAAAAAGTGAAATAATGTAATTATGCGGAAGCCTGCATGTGAAGTTGGTGCTTTTATGATGTATATTCTTGTGCCTCCAAGGGTTCTTTGGCAGTGTGTAGAGTACTCCCAACTCTCCTGAAAGATAGGTTGTCAGTTCCGTGTATCTGCCATTCTTCAATGGAAGTTGGTACAAGTAATCCTTTTTGATGTAACCTGAATATATTAAATCTTATATTGAATCTGTATAACTGCACATGATATACAACTGGAGGGCTGGAGCCAGATGGCTGGAAACTTGTCACCTCTTGGAGAGATAGCAAGAGGAGAAGGGACCATAAAAATTCCACCTCTTGAAGATACTCCCTGGGAAACTCTTCTAAGTTACGTTCCCAGGAAAGGGGAGGGAGGAATTAACATGTTGGTTCTTTGTTTTACTGAATCTACATCTAAATAAGGGGAGAGGTTCTAATTCCCTTTATCTATTCCTGTACGCCTGGAAGCACCTTAGACTCTGCTTTCACTAGTACTGGATTCACTTCCTTTTAATAAAGGATTCCTTTTGAAATACCTAGTTTTCAGAACTTCATTCTTTTCAGTTGAAGGGGAAAAGTCCACTGCTTACACAGGTGGTACTGAGAAATAGAAATTGATCCATTAATATAGCTTTGCTTGAGAGTTGGCTTTAATTTGTTACTTCCTGTCCTTGGTTCATCACTTTCACTAGGATTAGGGCAGGAGAAAGCCAGATTCAAATGTGTCATTGTTTATTAATTCCTCCAATATTGGGAATGGGAGAAACTTTTTCCTTCACATTTTTTAATTCCATGACTATCTACCAGTGTTTTTCAACTTTAGCAACTTTAAGATATGAGAATTTTCTATTTCCCAAATTCCCTACGGCTGAGCAATTCTAGCTATTTAATTCCACAAAACCCAGGCCAAGCCAGTTGTACACGTTTTGCCTAATGTATCTTTCACATTTGCTTATTTCTGGCTTGCTTTTTGAAGCCTTATTGTTATGAATTGGTCCTCAGGAGCATTCTTTGAAATTTACTAAATACTGACATTTCTGTGAACTAGATTCTACAATGTTTTCATCATGTTATTATGAAAAAAAAGTTATAGATAATTTTTATCTAATATCAAATGCTACAGTATGCTATTACAAACTTAATATTTTAATTTTATTCCCACAGTTAACAAAATCCATTTTCTTCATTCTTTCCTTTCATAGCAAGCCTCTGAACAGCTTATCATCCACAGTGCAGAATTTGAAGATGCTCTGGCAACTCTCTTTGTTATGCTGGCTCCATTGGCACCACACCTGACTTCAGAGATCTGGAAAGGTAACTTTATTTATGAATTTAGTTAGTTATTTTTAGTTAGTTGTATGGCCACCTATCTCATATAATGATCTTAGGTGGCTCACAACAATCAATAAAACAAGAATAAAGACAACGATCATTCCCATTGGTATTAGAACACTCAGAGGAGTATTCTCTTGATTTGCTTAACTGGCAAAAAAACAGGAATAAAATTCTAAATGCAGTGGTTGAATTAACTACATTCAGTTGGTTGTATAAGTTAGCCTGAAATTGGTCCCTGGAAGATGTTTTGGCTTAGAAATCTCATTATGCTGATTAGCATACCTATTAACTATATCAGCTGGAGATGATGGCCATTTTATTCAAATAAATATGGACTATATCAGATCGGAGATGCTGATTAAGAGATGGCTGTATAATGAGAAACTTTATAGTAGTAGGTGATTTCGTGTATAAATATGGAATGATATTATATTGCTGCTGAAAACATGGCAATGTTATCTGTTGATATTAACCTAGTCAGATACCTGAAAATGGTTCAGAAACAGAGAACCATCACTAAAAGCCACAACAAAGCAGCAAACCCATTTATATTAATAAGGTTTCTCAATTTGAAATGTGGGCTTTTATTTAAATGTCCAATGGGGCTTTTCTTCAGCTTTTACCTTGATTTAGGCCAGGCTTTGAAAAGAAGGTATAAAAATAGTTTCTCCTACCAAGGTGAAAATTTTACTTGACATCTTTGGAATTCTTTTTACTCAAGCATTCGAGGGGAACACTTCTAGGTTCTTTTTATTATTGCTCTGATGCTCCGCTTTTTTCCCCAAATATTGCAAAACTGCCCACCAATATTTTCTAAGCAATTTACAGAGCAAGAACTGATTAGTTTCAATTCTGAACACCAACTGCTTGTTTCCTGGCTGTTTCTTGGACTTTCAGTTCCTCTACTACTAGTTATATGAAGCTTAAAACAATAGTCAATTTAATATGAGAAATAGAAGAATTTGGTAAGGTGGCAGGAGTCAAAACAAACAAGGATAAGACAAAGATAATAGCTAAAAACCTCACGAATAGCCAGAAAAAGGAATTAGAGAGGAAACTGGAAATACAGATAACTAAAAAGTTTAAATATCTAGGAATTTGGTTGATGGCAAGATGCCCCTCAATAAAAGAAGGCAATTACAATAAATTGCTCCAACAAATAAAAAAAGATTTGGATGCCTGGGGGAAACTGCCATTATCATTAGTTGGAAGAATTGCCACAATTAAAATAAATGTATTACCAAAAATGTTATGCTTATTTCAAGTGGTACCAATAAAATTAGGTAACTCTAAATTTGTTTGGCTAGGGAAGAAACCTCGAATAAAACTAAAACTACTACAAGATAGCAGAAGTAAAGGCAGCTTTGGACTCCCAGATTGGGAATTATACTATCAAGCAGTGGCTGTGATGTGGATAAAGGACTGGATAAATTTAAACAACAAAAGGATATTGACAATAGAAGGCCACAATTTGCAGTTAGGGTGGCATGGATTTATTTGGGAAGGGAAAAGTAAAATACACACCTATTTCCAGAGACACCAAGTGAGAGGCACTCTACTAGAGTTTGGGGGAAAATAAAGAAAAATCTTTATATGAAAATACCAGTTTTAAATAACTATTAGATGCCCAAGGGAAGTTAAAAACAATCCAAGAGTTAAAACAACAAGGAATAGGTATAGATCGGTGGCCATATCTGCAGATTCAGGCAAGATAAAAAAAAGGATTTAGAAAAAATATGGCTTTTATAAGGAACAACAAGAACTCGACAAAATAATGCAGGGGATGGAGGAGAAAATGATAACAAAAACATATAACTATTTCCTGAGATTTAAAATGGAAGAAGAAATGGTCAAAGAAACCATAATAGCCTGGGCAAAGAACTTTGGCTATAATATTGAATTAGAACATTGGGAAAAACTATGAGGAAAAAACTATAAATGAACAATGTTGGCAGCCAAGCTTATAAAGAAAATTTGTATAAGCTGTTTTATCGTTGGCATTTACCCCCAGTTAGATTGGCGAAAATGTTTCCAAATAGTTCTGCAGAATGTTGGAAATGCAAACACAACCAAGGCACATTTTTTCGTATGTGGTGGTCTTGCCCGGGAGCTAGAAAGTACTGGACCAAAATAAGAAAATGACTAAAGAAATCACGAGTCAATGAATTGAATTAAAACCCAAACTCTTTCTACTAGGGATAATAAGAGGAAACTATAGTAAGAAAATTCAATATATTATATTGCATATAATGACTGCAGCCAGAATTGCGTTTGTGCAAAACTGGAAACAGGACAGCATGCCCTCTGAGGGAATGGTAATAAAAAAGTGTTAGATTGTTCGGAGATGGATAGGCTAACATTAGAATTAAAGGAAAGAGGGGACACATGGAAATAAAATTAAATATAAAGGTATTTGAAGAAATATATTAAACTTAATGGCAATGTATTATAGTTAAAGGAAGAAAAAGGAATGTAATTGATTGTGTGTGTGTGTGTGTGTGTGTGTGTGTGTGTGTGTGTGTGTGTGTGTATGAATATCAGCAATGCTGGAATGCTGCAAAGATTGTAAAAGTGATATAATATGATGAAATACATTTAATAAAAATATTTTTTTTAAAAGAAGAAGCTTAAAATGTATACTGTTTGGAAGGAGTCTGTCCACAGGGCTATTGTTTATGAGGCATAGATTGTGCTAAAAATTGTCACATGTACTGTTTTTCATGAGGGAAGAATAGCTATTAGCAAGTAACAAATCTGTAATTCTTTAATTTCACATGGTATATAATATAGTTGAATAAAAACAATAAACCAGGCTTTTGGTTTATAAACAAGATAAAATGTACAAGACAAAATAAATTCTACTTATATTTCTTCTGTTCAATTATTTCTTTCTGACTTTTTGAAGAAAAAAAATAGCAATATTTCCCCCCCTACTTTTCTACTGTGAATTAGTGCAAAGTGATTTATGGCTTTGAATAGCCCTTGGAAGCAGTTAGAAAGAATTACAGCTCTGCATGAAGTTTTATCCAACTAGTTTTTTTCCAGTACAAATTGCGAATTATATTTAAAAATCAGTTGCATTAGAGAAATCACAAACAGAAAGAATATGTATCTCATATTAGGTTTTTCAGCACTACTTTCAAGATGAATGTCATTCTGTCTTAATATTATTTTGTGGCTGAGAAATGTTTACTGCACAATTATATCCAAACAAATTTCCAGCACATCGACAAAATTGGAAACTAAGGGAATTTATGTGAATTAGATGGTGGTCAAACTTTATCAAAATTATTTATTAAATATAGATGCAGCCCATCTCCCTGATAAGGTGACTTACAAACCATAAACTTGTAGAATCTCTTTCTAAAAAAAAGGAGAACTGCCAAATCCACTAATTGAAACATGGTAAGAAAAAAAATACACCGAGAATTAAGAAACAATTGGGTTGGAGTACAACACTAGGATTCATTACAGCAGTATAATTTAAGATTTCGGGTTGATGAGTCATGCTACCAAGCAATCAGCCTTCTTTGACAATCTACTACTAATCAATCTGTGGTTCACCAGAAGATATACTTTTTATTCACCAACTAATTTATTTTATAGTCCACTAGGTTGAATTAGATTAATCTCTACCAGACTTTTTCCATATTATTTAACCTATATTTTATTTTAATGTTCTGGAAGTTGAGCTATTGATTACACTTTTTTTCATTCTCATTTGACTTATTTATAAACTGTTACTACAGTATTCAGCATTTAAATTATGTGTGTTTATAGCCAAGTTGTAGCATATTTTCCCCAAAATAAGACCTACCCCCAAAATAAGTCCTAGCCTGATTTTTGGGGTGGGTCTAATACAAGCCCTGCCCCCAAAAATAAGCCCTAGTGAAGGGTTGTGTGTGTGGCCAGCACAGAAAACAGCCTTTCTCTTCTCCAGTCATCTCATGGAGGCTCGCCCCCTTAATTGCAGCCCACAGATCAGCTGAGCCAGCAAGGGCCAGGCAACTCAGCCCAGATCTCCAGATCACCTCCCCAGCTGCCTGCCTGCCAGGGTCCCTTTGCCAGCAGTCGCACTGCCCTGCACAAGTTCCACAGTGGCCCTGCAGCAGGAGAGGGTAGAAATAACCCCTTCCTCCTTTGCATCCCGAAATACCATCTTCCATGGCTGCTGAGCCTCCTGCCTACACCCCTCTCACTGGAGCAAGATGTGCAATTCAATATCGATATTACCCGAGGAGGTCTCCCAGTACAATGCTTGCCAGAGTTTTGGAGCAAACCTCCTCCTTCCCTGCGCAGGATTGCACAGGAAAATTCCTCCCCCCCTTTTCCCACCAATTGGGATCGCAGAACAGACACATGTCCCCAAAATGCTCCATCTGAAGCTTCAGCATTGCCTTCCTGGGATGTGCGTCTTTGCTGCAATCCCAAAGAAAGAATGGTCTACAGGAAAACCCCCCCCCCCCCGCCGCATTTTCTACTGATTGTTCTTTATTTGGGATCGCATGACATCCCCTCTTTTCCCCCTCCTCCCTCCCTCCCTCCCTCTCTCTCTCTCTCTCTCTCTCTCCCCCCCTCCCCCTTTCCCACACACACACACCCACACACACACACACACACACGTCTCTCTCACACCCCTACCCCCTCCAAGGCAGCCACATCCCTTCACTAACCTGCTTTCCAGTTCTGTTCTCCTCTGTGCATGCAGGACAAGAAGTCTGTGGGACTTTGGTTTTTTTAAAAAAAAACCATAATTCAGACCTTCCAACTTCTCATGAAAAAAAAAAACTCATCAAGTTGGAAGATCTCAACTATTTTTTTTACCATAATCCCACAGACTTCTTGCCCTGCATGTGCAGTGTAGAATGGAGCTGGAAAGCAGGTTAGTGAAGGGATGTGGCTGCCTTGGAGGGGCTGTGGGGAGGTGAGGGACCTGTCTCTCTCTCTCTCTCTCTGTGTGTGTGTGTGTGTATGTGTGTGTGTGTGTGTGTGTGTGTGTGTGAGAGAGAGAGAGAGAGAGAGAGAGAGAGAGAGAGAGAGAGAGAGAGAGAGCACACATCACCATAGCCCTCCAAGGTTGGATCAGATCTCTCTCTCTCTCTCCACCCCCCCTCCCCAGTAGCAGTAGCGGAGTTTCAGTGCCTGGCTGGTAGGGAGCTTCTCACCCACCCTTCCTGCTGGCCCAGCTGCTGCTGGGACACTTCTTGGCTGTGGCAGATCCCATGAGGAGCCGTGCTGTCCGTGCTGTCTTGCCTGCTGCCACCTTTGGGCTGCTGAGCACTGGCCTACATACCTATTCAGTGCTGTAGGCATCAGGCTTACAGCTATGCTGAGCCCAGCACTCTTCAGGCCCTAGCAGGCGCTGCAGTTCTCTTATCAGCTCTGCGTCGGGCAGCACAGATTGAGAAAAGGAGGATAAGCAGGAAAATCCCACTCCCCATTTTCCTGCCGAGCCTTCAGTGTTGCAATCCTGGGATACAATATCTCTCACTTGCCAGATTGTTCCCCTCGCAAAGAAAGCCCAACCCGATGCCTCCTGTCACCTCTTTGTCATGGTGAAACTCCTCTTTGAAAGGACAATCTACAAGGGGGAGATTTCCTGCACATTGTCCTTTCAAAGATAGGACAGACGCACCTCAAAAAACACTCCCTCCATGACTTCAGAGCCTCCAGTCTTGTGCAGGAAAGAAAGAGGTTTGCTCCGAAGCTGTGGCAGAGTGTTGCACAAGGAGACCTCTGCAGCTGCGGTAACATTTCGTTTGCTGGAGGAGGAGGCTGGAGAGGTACTCACGAGGCAGCTGTTCCGTGGATGGAATTGCCTGCTGTGACCATTATGGTTAGATAAGGAGGGTGCGAAGTGCATGGAGTGCTTTGCTTGGCCTCCTGCTGCTTTTGTGGCCAACAATCAGCTGCAAAAGTGGCCATGCTTGTTGAAGATGGCCTGAGCGGTGACTGCAAAACAGCTGTTTCATGGATGGTGAGATGGCCTGCTGCAACCCTTAGGGAAGCTGGCACAAGGGACCGCTTGTCCCGCCGTCTGCCTCATACCGGTACATGGGGGGGGGGAATAATACCCTCCCAAAAAGAAGCCCTAGCTGTTTTGGAGGGGGTTAAAAGAAAATAAGTTGAGAAACATACCTTTTAAATTAAAAGGTTAAAGTAATTAACAAGAAATAAATTCTTTATATTTCTGAAGTAATTTATATTTAAAGTACTTTTTGATAATATAGGCAAATAGTTCTTCCATTATTAAAGGCACATAGGCATGGAATTGTTTGAATTCCCTTCTGTGGGGGCACAGAGTGCTCAAATCCAAAGGGATGTCCTAACATGGGATCCTGCCTCTAATTTCCTCAGTTTTGCTAATATTCCAACTGGTTATCCTTAATCTTTTTCCTTTTATTGCCTGTACTATGAAATAATAGTTTAAAAAGAAAAGGAGAGAAAGGGCCAAAAAAAGGAGATAGAAAGACATCGTCTTTTAATCTTTCCTTCTGGATTGCAGAAGTAGTAAAATTAATGCTTTAACCCTTGCAGAATCTTAAAGGAACGGGGAAAATTGCCTCTATTGTTCTAGTTGATTTTTTGTTCTTTAAGTGCTGTGCAAGGCTGAAGACAATCTACAAGGCTTAAGACAATCATTAAATCTATGAAATATTCCAAAACTTTTTTTAAAAAGCAAAAATGGTCCACATTTTTGGTCCCTCTCTTTCTTGAGAGCTCCAAATAAGGTATTGGGTCTGCAGTTTGCCTCTTTTTATACCATTTAATTTAATCCCATATCTCTGAGAAAGTAAATTTAGGAATGCATATTTTCTTATCTTCTAGGATTAAATCTAGTGGTTATGTTTTATAATCTTTTTTTAAAAACACAGTGTCATCAACTAAATGTGTGATTTTCTAATGGTAAAATGTTTCTATATTTTTTTCACCTCCTACTTTTTAAATGTATGGTAATCTTATACTCTTTGAATGTTCAGTTTTTGGTCCATCAATATAAAACAACTATCAGCATTTTCACTCTAGCATCTGAAAAACATAAGTAAACAAACTGTAAATATGTTTCCCTAAATGTAAGTAATCTATTGATACTGCATTTCAGGAGTATCACATGTTCCAGACAAACTGTGTACTCATCATCACTGGGACATGGATGTACTGCAGCAGCCTTGGCCCACTGTAGATCCTGAATATTTTCAACTGCCAGACATAGTAGAAGTGTCAGTACTGGTGAGTAAATGTATTTTTACTTTAAGAGTGACCAACAAGTTATGTGTAATATTCTTGAATACTCACCACCTCAAATTAAGTGGGGAAGTATGTGGACATATGTTTTGTTGCTCGTTGTCTTAGAAAATTTACCGTAGTACTGTCAAATTGTTGAAGCTAAGCAGACAGATTGGAATAGAGACCACTAGACTTTGTTACCTCCCAAAATATATGTTTCCGCTAAAGCTCAGGAGAGTGAGGAGTGCTTAAAAATCCATTGCCTTAAATAACTATTTATTGTTTTCTGACTACTGCATATTATTTTTTTAAGTTGCATTAATATGAAAATGTATCTCCCTGCAGTAATAGGTTTAGTAAAGTACCTAAATGCAAATTCAAAATGCAAAACATTTTTGGAAAGTATTTCTTATTTTTATGATTTTAGGAGCTGTTTGGGGGACATCACTTAGAAACGGGGTGTCAAGCTCATGTCGTCATGGCAGCATTATGTGACATATCAGGACTTTTTTCCACTTCACTAAATCAGGCATTGGCATGGCCAGCGCATGACGCATCCGGCCCGTGGGCTAGGAGTTTGACAGCCCTGATGTAGAAGGTCAACAGCACAGAATGTAAAGCAAGGTGTAGAGAGAAAACTGTAATAATGAGTGAAGTTACTTTTTAAATATACTTTCTTACCCAAATAGATATAGAATATATTTACATATATGTACACCTGTGCAATCTGTGTTTAATATTTTGTCCCTTCAGAACAACGCATCTTTTAGTCAGTCATTTTTGTTTTGTCCGCTTACAAGAAATATGTCACGTGATGGAGATAAGTAAACATTCAAGCATGTAGAGACATAGATCTGTCCTTTATATTTATATACCTTCTACAGAAGGAAATTCTAGTGTAAAGTATGCCTGACACTGTCAGGGTTCCAGTTAACGCACTCAATGGAATCAAAACTCCAAGGCAGGCATATTCCTCAAAGTATAGATTTATTAGGCGTGTCATATAGGCACATCTGGGAAAACCTGACTCTGAAGGACCCGAGGTTTTCCCCACCCAAATCAAACCCCCAAGTTCTTTTCCCCCAGGTCATACATTCATCACATGGTCCAACCAGGTCATACCCACCATCCTGGCTGGCTTTGGTCCATGCATCCTGGTGAAGCATCCTTGGCTCCCACAGGAAAGAATGTTCTTTTGGCTACACATCCTCAGCTATCTCTATTTCCCCTCTTATGTTCTCACAGCTCCAACCACCCTTGCTATGGTAGCCCTGAAGACACTCCCAAAATGGTTTCAGCTCAAAATGGCTTCTGGGCTGACAGGCTGCCCCCCCTCAATTGAAGAGGACCTCCTGCAAAAGAAAATTAAAGGGAGTTTAATCTGCATCATCTTCAACCTCCCCTTCCCTCCCCCAGCTGGTCCCTTAGGCTTGTGAGGGTACTTGTCATGGAACTGCTTAATTAACCTATCAGCTTTTACATCCCAGCTTTTTACCCAGGTGCTTCAGAGAGGGGTATCCCTTCCAGTGGAATAGGTGCCAGAATTCCAACCAATGCCCTAATAAAATTAAGAGTTCCAAGCCATTTAGCAAGAAAAATCCAGTTGTTTATTAGAAGCACCATGTCAGCACTATCTTGTTGAAGCCAGCTCTGGCTTCACCCAATCGCACCTTGCCTCTAACCCTGTTTCTCCCTCCCCCTCAAAGTGTGTCACCAGTCACATTCCCCAACAAAGCAATTTTGCGGGTCGTAGAAGTCCCTCCCTCCAGCTTTTGCACGTCTCTGTGGAGATAGTTTTGGCTTCGGCTGGCTAAGCTGTGTCTTGTTTTGACTGAGGTGTGAATTTCTTGATGCAGGTGTGAGGCACGATTCCCATTCCCCTGCCTATGGCAACTCAGGAGCAGGTCAGGAAAGTTTTGCGAGTTGACACTAGGTATTGCAAGTGACCCCAATGCATACATGAGTCTAAGGTTTTTTTAACCTCATAGTGGGTTTCTCCCTGCACTATGATGGGCTTCGGGGCTGCCCAGTCTATCGGTCTTACCTGGGAGTTTGCACCCAGCTTTAACAGGCTGCTATGAAATACTGGATGCACTTTCCCTAGCAAGCATGAGAGTCTAAGCAGAACAGTTACAGGGTTTATCACTTTCACTATTGGGAAAGGCCCTATGAATTCAGACCCAGTTTCTTACTTGGCAACCTTAATTTCAGATACTTTATTGGCAAGTATATGTTGTCTCTGACCTGGAAAGGAGGGTGAGGGGAATGGTGTTTATTGGCTTGCTTTTTGTAGTTTTTTGCTGCTTCGACTAAGGCTTGCTGTGTGTCTTCCCACTCCTGTTTTAATTATTCCATCCATTCATTCAGGGACATGGAGGAGGGAGGTTCATAGGGACAGATTTCATGTTGCTGGTGACCTGGAAAGGGATCAAACCAGTGCTACTGTGCACCGCGTTGTTGCAAAAGACAGCAATTCTGCCCAGTTAGTCTGCTAGTAGTCTACATAACACCTAAAGTACTCTTCTACCATGGCGTTCGCTCATTCCGCATTCATGCTTGGATGAAAAACTGAGCTGAGCCCCTGGGTGGACCCTATCTCCCATAGGAACTCACTCCAGAACCTAGCCATGAACTGGACTCCCCATTTGAAATAATTCTGTAGGGCACCCCATGTAGCCTATATATCTGCTTTATAAACATCTTGGCTAGTTTTATGGCTGAGGGCAACCCCAAACAGGCTATGAAATGGGCTTATTTTGAAAATAGATCAAACGCATTCCAAATAACTGTGTTTCTGCCACTCTCTGAGGGCTCAACTATGAAATTCATGGCAATTTATTCCCAGGGTCAGCCACTTGTTGGAAGAGGCCTAGGGATTTCCCAGGTCTCTTCATAGTGGCGCAAGTAGCACAACCCTTTACATAGTCCTCCACATCTGCCTTCATCTTGGGCTACTACAACTGCTGCCTAGTTAGCTGCCTAGTTTGGGTGACAAAGCCCCCAAAACTGCAGTTCCTTCCTAGTCCGGAAGGGTGTGTGTGCTTCCCACTCGAGGTTGGCTTTCACATTTTCGGGGTCCATCTCCACCCCCTCATTGGACACACGATGCCCCAAGTACTCTAAACTGGTTTTGTGGAAGTCGCACTAGGATAGTTTAGCATAGAGCTTGGCTTTCAATAGTTTGCTTAGCACTAACTTTGCATGGTCTTCCATTGTTGCAAAATAAAAGGGTATGTCATTCAGGTACACCAAAGTCCCCTAACACAGGTGCTCATACAATTCTTCATTGATTAGTTGCGTGGACACCACAGGTGCTCCCTGCAATTTGAAAGACATCACCCAGAATTTGAAATCCCCTAAGAGATAATTGAAAGTGGTTTTCCACTCATCACCCTCTTTTATTCTCACTCAGTATTAGGCTTCTCTTAAGTCCAGCTTGATGAACACCCTTCCCTTGGCCAGGTATCCCAGCATGTCTTTCATAAGGGGAAGGAGTACATGTTTTCCACACAGACACCATTGATGCCCTGTAAATCTATATATAAACTCAAAGACCCATCTTTCTTTTCTTTGAAGAGTACTGGAGCTACCATCCTAGATTTCGCCAGTTGTACAAAGCCCTTAACTAGGTTTTTATCCTCAAAGTTCCTGATCTCCTCCATTTCTCTTGGGGTCATGAGTACATCTTTGGTTTGGGTAATTTCTCCTTTGACAATATTTCAATGGCACAGTTAGTGGGGTGATGGTGAGGAAGTACATCTGATTCCTGCTTGCTGAATGCTTCAGCTAGGTCTTCGTATTCCTTTGGGATGGCCCTTCCCCTTAGCCACTCTTAGCTAGTGCATGGATTGGTTCTATCTTTCCCCTCCCCACCAATGGTGTTTCGCTACCTTTGCGTATCCCCCCATGCGTTGCAATCTGCCCACTATACTCCTCCAGCACCAACTGTTGTCCTTTAGTCAACATCTGGATTCTACTTCTTCAGCCATGCCAACCCCAATATCATGGTCTCTGCCAGTTTTGGGGTTACTATGAACCAGGTAGTTTCCTCATTGGCTCCCTGCTTTCAGGGTTACTGGTTATGTTTTGCACATAGCAGGCAACCCCAGTAAGGGAGCCATCAACTTGCTCAAACTGATTTTTTCAGTCTCAGTCCCATCTTTTCCACAGTTTCATAGGCTAACCAAGCAATGGGTGCAACCTGAGTCTACCAGGGCCCTGAAGGCCCCCCTCACTCCTGAGTGGGGCACCCGGGCAGTCAAAGGGGCAAGGATTCCACTTATCATTGGATTTTCCTCCCCTTCACTATCACTCTTGTAGAAGAACAGGTTGTGCTTGCTGGGGATTGGAGTTCCTTCCCCCTCACTGGAGGGGGAAGAAACCTTCACAACCAACTGCACCACCCACATCTTCTCCTTTCCCTTCCTCAGTGCCTTCTTGGCCTTTGGCTAGCTCGCACCCTTTGGCATTGCCATGGGCAATTAGCTGCTCAATGACTTTCTTTTTCACATCAGAAGCAGGCACCATGGGCTCTCTTTGGGGTAGCAGGAGGAGCTGTTGGTCCCTTGCACATTGATGTCTCTCTTGGCCTAGTCGGGGCCAAGCCTCATTAGCCACATGTTGTCAGTATTCCCAACAGGTCTAGATCCACTGTGGTTGCTAGCTGGTATAGCTCCTTGTTTAATCTGTCTTGGAAGTGGTAGACTAGCAAGCATTCCTGTCAACTTCCCAGCCAAGCTGCAGAACTCCCAAATGTATTCTGACTTACTCCTTTGTCTTATGGCATGTATCCTGGATTCCACTTGTGTGGCTTGTGCAAGGTCTCCAAACCTGGCTTGAAGCTCCTCCAGGAAGGCATCCACATTTGCCAACTCTGCTTCCCCTTCATTGTGGAGGTACATCACCCAATCTGCCTTGTCTTCTAGATTTGAAGTGATCGTGTTCACTCGGGCAACTTCATCCAGGTGCATTGCTCCCTATCATTTCAAATAGTTCCACAGCTG